AGGAACGGCGGGCTCTGGAACGTCTACCGCGGGACCATCAGTCTTGGATCTTTCTTGGGATTTCTTGAATGTCTTGTCCATGGTTTAGTGTCGTGTACAGATTCTTTGTAACGTTATGTGCACGTGCTTGAAGCGTTTTTTCTGAGGCACATAGCATTGCCTAATACAACAAGAATATGTTGACGAATATCGAATATCTTGTCTTTTGAAAATATAGAACTAAAAATGGTGGGTAAAATACCAGCTGCGTAACTCTTGACCCATTTCTATATGATTGAACAGCGCCAATACGCCAGACTCCTCCTTTAACCGTATTGCACCTAAGGTATCTCGCGACGTACAGAAACACTCCTCCAGAAAATCGAAAGCCGTCCTCATTACAAAGCTGTTATTCATCCAGTTTCGTCATGCCTCTCCCTCTCTTCGGACTATTTGCGCGGCTCTTTATTCTTTCCCGGCTGTACGTCCGGCTCAACTCAAAGGCACTCGGGGGCCCGAGCCCCAGGCCCGTCCCTTCTCTGACCACGTCTCCAGCACTCGTGGCGCCAAAGTAGTTTGGTGCACCTGAAGCAAGTTCAGTCTTGATCTGCGGCGTCGCCCAACCACTTGTCTTTCCAACTTTGGAACCCTCAGAGGAGTCTGAAAGCTCATTGTCCGAGGAGTCCAGATACGTCTCTTCGAGTTCAAATTCGTTCGCTGCCTCGCCATCTTCTAGGTCAACGCGTTCGTAAGGTTGTTGGGTATTGGAGGAGGAGCCACCCAGGCCAAAGAGCTTTGCTGGAAAACTGCGCCCTCGGCGGCGGTGGAGAGGATCTTTGCCCTGTTTCCTCTTGAAGAGCTTGATGATGGACTGCTTGGCCGCATTCCTTTTTTCCTTTCCAAGAATGAGGCAAAAGATGAAGATGACGATGAATATCATGATGAAGAAACCAGGTATTCGCTGCGGGTTCTCGACGAAAAGCCGATGCCAGTCACTGTCGGATTCGTACAGTCTTGGTATGCCTCCGGGGTATTGGAAATCTGCTGGTATACCGGGTACGTTCGAGCCAAAGCCTACTGCGAGGGCTTCTTCGGAGGGTGGTGGAATCTCGCTGGAAGCGTACAAGACCATCTTTCCCAGTGTCCAGCTCAGCTCCACCTTGTTGATCTTGTTGACTGCTTGGAATGGGTCGAGAAATCCCTTGGCCTTTGCATTGTCAATGACGTCCTTGGTGGTGTTCGTGCTGCCGTTCAAGTCTTCGATGCCAACTCGGGGGACGCCGATTCCATCGTGCAGCATGTTGATGACCCAGGACGCCTTGAAACACACCTCTCGTGCCTTGTCCTCATCTACTTTGTGACCCCATTTCTTCTTCTTGATGCCCTTTTCTATGCTTTTCCAGTCTTGACTGCAGAACTCATCCACTCGCTCCTGATAGGTCTTGAGGTCATATGCCTTGTGCTTGTGTCCGTGTTCGAAGATCTCGTGCGTGGTATGCCAGTACTCGGATACGCCTACGAAGTGGTTTACGTTGAAATCGATAGCGGGCACATGCTGTCCGTTGATCAGGCATGGCGAATCTGTACACTCCTTCTCTTTCTCCAAAAGCGGAAACGTCTGATGCAAACACTCTGAAAACTGTCCTGTTCCTACCAACTTCGCAGCGGCCTTCGGTTTTGGCTGGTCGTCATCATCGTCGTCGTCGTCCGAGTCGATCGATTTGCCATCTTCCGTGACGTCCACCTTGAGATCTGCGGGTAGGCAAGGATCTGGAAGCTCCTTCTCTGCGCTGGAATCTAGCAAGGCCTTGACGTAGCGCTCTCTTGCTTGGTTGACGCCAAATCCCAGCCATGTCGTCACAAACACCTTGTGTTCGAGCGGCGTACCGTCGATCGCACGCAAGCGCATGAGCGTCAGGTCGTTCGCATGCTTCTCCGCTTCGGTCGCATTTGGTGCAAAAGCGATCTGAGCCGACGCGCCTCCCATGTCCAGAAATCCATAGGTGTTGTGGCCCTTGCCGTGGTCGTGGTCTTTGGGACGATCGAACCCGCCAAGCAGATAGTTCGCTGCGATCCAGCCATAGAGGCCTTCTGTCTCTCCGGGTATAACCTGAACATGTACGTCGCAATCCGGTAGTTGGAACTGGGTGGTGCTTCGCGCGAACTCGCAGACTTCCTTCAGTACCTCCTTCCGTTGGCGCTCGGGGAGTATGCGCATGCCCGCTGTTGCGAGCAGGAAGAGAGGTGTATTCGGGACTTCTTCGAGGGGTACGTATTTGAGCGCATGGCTGAGGAGCTTGTCGAGGTGTTCGGAGCCGACATCGTGGGGGTGTTCGCCGAAGGTTGAGATGCCTGTTTCGTCGCGTGTTAGTTCTGCGAATTGAGTATATTGTACCAGGGCCACATACCTGGGTGTATCTTCTTAGTCCAATCCTCCTTTGTTTCTATGACCGGCAGGCTGTGCAGTTGCGCATCGCCGGCCTTCTTGCGGGCGGCGTCGTGGTTCAGCCATCGGTAGATGTGGACGCGCGTCCCCTAAACATGGTCAGCTTCAACCCTGCGATACTACACAGCAACGACTTGGGAACGTACAGAGGACCCAGCATCTAGGACAACACCGTATCTCCCTATGTGCCAAGCAGTGTCAGCGTCCGAGCTGTGTGGTGGGCATGGGGCTGCGCGGAGGGGATGGCGTACACTTTCCCATTGGGAGTAATCGGGTCCGACGAGCGTTATTGAGTAGAGCGCATGCAAATGGCGACGGTGGGTATTACAAGAGATACGGAGGAAGACGGGTAGCGGCGCGGCCGAGTCGAATAGGATATACGAGGGAAACGAGCGACGTAGGGAGCGGCGACGAGTTGTGGTGATGGCGGAGAACGAAAGGTTGAGACTTGGACCCTGGCTGTCGGCGCCGCTTCCAGAAGGCGCATGGATCAGCGCCCGCTGCGACGTTTCACGCGGCGGGCCAAATGTGCCACCAGTTACGGGCCATTATGACGCCATCTTCATTACTTCACGCGCCCGTTGTTCACTTCCGAGCAGCAATCGTCTGCATTTGATATGGGGGCTGCTGCCGCGAGCAACACGAGTAGATGGAGGCTGAATCAATCTGGCACGGTGATCTGATGGGCTGCGCCTCGGTGTCACTAAAAGTTGACACCTAAACGTTGCGTCGCGCAATTTGCATGTACGGGCCGGCAATAACTGCGATCAGCACTGTCATGCGTGCGGAGTGACTATGACGTAGAAACATCCCTCGTGCTGAGTCTGTACGCAAAACATGTCGGACCATAGCTGGGTGTCGGAGATAGAGTGTGCTCGTGATCAGAGGGCAGGAGCCATCGCGACAGTGTGGCTCGATGTGGAAGGCTCATACCAGCGCCGACGACATAAGGCCGGCAAAGCAAAAAGATCCAGTGAACATTAGGCATGTAAACAGCCTGTACAGTGATAAACAGGCATAGAGGATCAATCCGGAGCTGTCACGGTCGCGGAGGAGCTACTCTGTGCGGTTTGGCCGAAAAGTGGCCTGGGAAGGAACGTCGGGCAAAAAAGAGGGTGCCAGGTCGCTCCTTCCCTCCCAAAAAATTGACCTCGAGGTGATTTGAACACCTAACCTTCAGGAATCTCCAGAGGAACTGGAATCTGACGCGCTACCATTGCGCCACGAAGCCGGTCTTGTTGTTGATGGAGAGAAAGTAAATTCTACTGTAAATACCCACGTAGCAAACATCTGCACATCGAAAAGGCGACTGCGGGGTCATCACCAAGCAACCCCACCAGACAGTGCAAGTCGATATTGAAATAGTGGGTCGACGGCCAGCCTTTGCAAAATGGTTCCTACACCACTGGATCTCGGTATTGTACCTGCCTACAGGCTGCAATACATATCCGCTCAATCAATAGTGCCACCCGCTGCACCTTCAGTCCTCCATCAAAAATCTCAGGAACGCCTTGGCAATCACCACCCCGTCATGGTGCTTGCCAACTCTCTCCAGCGCATCTTTGGCCTGCTCGTCCTCAAAGATACCCTGCTCGGCTCTCATTTTGACCAAATACGACACAATAGGCTCCGTGAATTCCGGATGCCCTTGCACGGAGATGAGCTTGCCCTTCTTGTACATGCCTTGTACCAGACAACGTGGTGATCCACCGAGCTTTTCCACACCCTCTGGATACTCGAAGACTACATCCTTATGCATTTGGTGAATGGCCTGTAGATGTGAGTAGAGACACTACGATAATCGTGGCTTGTGACATACCAAGGTGTCTTGTTGGAATATTTCTTTCCCCTTCGCGGTAAGTTGCACTGGCATCACCGATATCTCCCACCCGTCGTCGCTGCGTCCGACTTTCGCTCCTGCCGCCCTTCCCAGGATCTGATGGCCGAAGCAAACACCGATGACGCGAATTCGGTCTTGCTCTAGTAATTTCTTGGTAAAGTCGACAAGCTTCAAGATCCATGGATCGTTATCAAATGAATTGTGCTCTGTTTCCCATGAGTCAGAATAGCGATACTGTTGATTGAAGCCATCACTCACTCGAGCCTGAAATCAACACTGCGTCTATGTTCTGCAAGTCGGGATACTCCTGTGCTGTGACCACGTCAAATGCGCTCAACTCCAAGTCTTGCTTTGGCGATAAGCCTAGGTCCTGTGCTGCCCTCTCCAACAGTGTGGTGAAGATGCGATCGTATCGGCCATACTCATCGACGATAGCTGCTGGTGGAGTATCGCACTCTAGAATAGCTATTCGCAATGGCGTCTTCATTTTTCCAGAAGTTGATGTTACGAGTTGTGCAAGATGACGCCGTCTTTGACAGCGGAAAAGTGACGGCGAGTTCGGAAACACTAGCGCAATCCGGCTGGTACCCACCTGCATCCAAAGCTTATCAGCCTCCAGGGGTCCAGCTACCTGGAAACTCCATCTTCGCGTCACACAGCTTTCTGCCGCCTCGTTCGCGCTGGAAAATAACAGAACTATTGCGCATAGTTTTACGGCATCCCAATCCTGCTACCATGCCGTCATCTGCGTCCGAGCGAACACCGCTACTTCGCTCTACATCGGCAAACCACCCCGTCACCGAAGATGCAATCACCACCGCAGAAGTAGCGCAACAGGGTCAAGGCGCTGCACATCAGTTCCCAACATCGCAGAAAGCGAGAACCGGCTCACTTACCGAATCTGTCGACCCTGGCGACGTGCCCCCAATCACGGATGAGACAGAGAGCCTGACCAAGTTTCAAAAGAATGGGAAATTAGAAGGCATTGGAGAGTGGAAGTTTAGGTTCGTGTTTGGTGGTATTCTACTTGGTTACTTTGTGAGTCGACCTGCACATGTCCAACATGGCTGCGCATACTGATCATGTAACGATAGATTGCCATGTTTGATTCCACTCTCATGGCATCAAGTCATCCAGTCATCACATCGTACTTCCATGCATCGAATTCAGCCTCATGGCTATCAACAGCCTTCTTACTCACATCAACCTCGCTGCAGCCACTTATGGGCCGACTCTCAGATACTCTGGGTCGTCGACCACTGTATCTGGCGGGTCTCGTCGTTCTCGCAGCTACGACCGCATGGTGCTCTTTTGCGCAGACGATTGGTAGCTTCATCGCCGCCCGAGCCTTTTGCGGCATTGGCGCAGCTGGTGTTCTATCGATGGGTAACATCATGACCAATGACCTAGTCAGCATTGAAGTACGAGGTACCTACCAGGCATACATCAATCTCTTCTACGGAGGCGGATCTGCTTGTGGGGCAGCTTTTGGCGGCTTTCTATGCGACAAGTTAGGATGGCGGATGACTTTTGCCATACAGATACCCATACTTGTCATGCTTTTCATTAACGCCATTTTCACCACGCCCTCTTCACTCGGCCCAAATTTAGCCAAACGCTATGGACTAGGTCTGAAAGAAGGCTTGAAGGGATTCGATATCGCTGGATCCATTTTGCTGACGGTATCCGTCGCTTTCCTCATACTAGGGCTGAATCTGGGAGGCAACATATATCCATGGAAGCATTGGATCGTCATCACATCACTGGTCATCGCACTAGTGACAGGCGCCGTTCTCGTCAAAGTCGAGTCTAGAGCCGCGCGAGCAGTCATGCCTCTGCCCATGTTGTTTAGCAAGCCCCGTGGCAATCTTGTCTTCAACAATTTCTTTGCACAAGTTGGCATGAACACTATTCTATTCAACGCGCCCTTGTACTTCCAAGCGGTTGAGCTCGAGACGGCGTCCGTCTCCGGGTTCCGCCTTGCCGGCCCTTCAGTTGCCTTGACGATTTGCGGCGTGTCTGCAGGCTTCATCATGACCGCCACCGGTCGGATGAAGTGGCTCATCGTAGTTGGCTCACTTTCGATGCTGTTGGGTGCTACATGTCTTTCCCTGATGTGGGACGGTATTCCCAAGTGGCTTGCCACCATCTTCCTGGTTCCGTCTAGCATCGGCCAAGGGCTGAGTTTTCCTGCAACAAGTCTCGCGGTACTTGCAACAAGTACACAAGAAGATCAAGCTGTTATGACCAGTACACTGATCTTGTGGCGCAGTCTCGGTATTGTCATGGGTGTCTCGCTCAGTAGCCTCATTCTACAGAACGCTTTGACTTCGTATCTCGAAGCACTTGTCACCGGTTACAACAAGGCGAAAGTATGTCCCATTTCGATTCCAGCCAGTGGTGTTACGATGTCTTCGACGCAGTTGCGGAAAACTAGGGAAAGCTCATCACCCGTACTGCGCGACTCCAGCATGTCTTTCACTTGTGCTTTGCTCCGAACGTAGTCGTCTGGGTAGTGGATCTATACAGACTGCCTTCATGCTGTCATTGCTCTCATCGATCAGCGCTAATAGCTATCCGCAGATCATACAACACGTCCGCAAATCGGTACGCAGCATAATCGACCTTGATGCTAAGCACAAAAGTCAAGGTCAGTTTTACCTACTGCGGGGCACGCCTCCTCACTGCCCTCAAGCCCAATACCAAGTCGCTGCTATCCTATAGTGATAATACTGATCTCTTCTCTAGTCATTGAAGCATACAGCCGTAGTCTGCGACTGGTCTTCATCTCGGCAATCGCCATGTTCATCATCGTGAACATACTAGTGTTCGCGATCGAACTTCCGCAGCTCAAGAAATCCAAAGTGCACGACGAAGAAGAAGAAGAGTCAACGTAGTACAGCATCACTTAAACCGACTGCGAGATGGTCAGACATCGTTGCAAGCTCGATCGAGTTTATTGATGATAGCGTAGCTCGTGAAGAATCACAAAGACCATCGTGCGAACCAATCCAACATGTATGGCGTCGCATCCCATGATGTGGGCCCGTTCCTTAGTGTTTCGAAAGGCTCGCCTTGATTCTTACGACTCGGCCAGCCGTGACCAAAACCCTGGATCGCTCTGTGAACAACGACATCATCAACATCGTTGCACCGCCATCGACTCTCCGCAACGCTTCCGTTTTCCAGTTGCTCCGTCGAGGGGTTGCTCGCACAATTGTCACGCTTCGCCCAGCTCTTGACCCAACTCAGTACTGGGATGAAAGGTGGTGGCGTTGGGCTGCTGCCGTCATAGGGAACCACACTATCGTTCAGTCCGTGCAGGTTCATGTAGGGGAGTACCCTGTCTTGTAAGCTCGGAACGCAATCCTTCTCAAACAAAGGCTCTGTCAAGCTTGAATCCGGATAGAACGCGCCAGCCACGGTTGCGAATGCAGCGAACTTCTTGTTGAGTTCCGCATCACACATGAGAAGTCCAGTCAATCCGCCACCGTTAGATAGGCCTGCGGCGTATACGCGCCTCTCATCGATGCATAAGGTCGATGTCAGGTGTGCAAGAAGTTCGGTGACAAAGATTCGATCATCGATCACAGAGGAAGTTGGGGCCAACGGGTCGCCTAACCATTGCACCTACGCGTTAAAGTTAGCCTTCGTGCCTTGTAAGATCCCTCAATCCTCGCTCTGATCGTGACTTACGCCAGGTGCTTGGACATTCATGCCCTCCGGATACACCACGATGGTGTTTGGGTTGAAGTCAGGATTGGACAGCTCGCTGATGACCTCCATGCTTCTTGCGGGCTGTTGTTGGCCATGGAACGCAATCACAAGAGGCAACGCTTCATCATTCGAGGCCTTGTACTTGGATGGCAGGTGTAAGATGTATTGGCGCTCGGTCGTCTTGCCGATCACCGATTTCGAAGACAAAGTGACATTGGTAGTAGATTTGCCCGGTGTGAGCCCCGAGGGCAAGCGAGTTCCACAGCCAGAGCTCGCTGCGAGTACGGCGGGGCAAAGGAGTGAAATGAGAGATAGAGACAGCATTGTCGCGATCCGAGAACCAAAAACTAAGACGCGTGCTGCCAGGAACGGGGTTAACAGGTTAGGTATATATAGCTCTTGCGGCTTTGTGTACATGGGAAATTACGGACGAACAGAAGCGCCGCTCGTACTGACGCGAAACCCCGTAGTCGGTCCTTTGAATACTAATCTTTCACCGCTATTAAGACGACGTGCGATAGCCTTCTAAAGGTTGCTGTTGTAGTAAGCAGAACATAATACATGTATACCTTAAGTCTGTTATAAGAATACAATCTCGTACAGTAGTCTATATATACTAACATAATATTAACCTCTAGATTTGTTTCTTAATATTTTTAGATTTAACACTATTATTTAAAGATACATATTTTTATTATTTTATTAGTAGACTAAGAACCTTATAGTATTAGCTAGTCTAAGAAAAGTAAAATCTATTATAAGTATATAAAACTATATATAGCTAGAAGGTTATAATATAAACGTTTAGATTAGAAGTTATAAATATTAGATAGACTAAAGTCTAAACTTTAGCGCTATAACTTTAAGCTTAGTAATTTAAGATAGTAGAGTAACTTCTCTATAGATACTAGAGTATATTATAAGAAATATATAGTTTAATTATAAAGATATATTAGCTTATAATTAATAAAGCTCTTTATTATATAGTAATTAATTAGCTTAACTATAGGTTTTAAACTAATACTTCTATATATCTAATTTAAATCTTAAATTTAGATTTCTATTCTAATTTATATTTAGTAGCTTATAGTTTATTAAGAATTTAAAAACTTATTAAAAACTTTAGTAGTAGCTTAAAACTAGTACTAAAGTAGATAAGGTTTTAACTTTTTAATTCTTTCTTTTATAGATTCTTCTAGTATTAGATAAATAAAAAGCTAATATTATTATAAGTTATATTAGTCTATTACTTTTATATCTATATAGAGCTCTTAACTTAGACTAGAAAGTCTAAGTAAAAATTATTTATCTATATACGCCTACTTAATATAGCTTTTAAGCTAACTAAATCTATATAATATTTTAGATACCTATAACTTAAAGTAGCTACTACGCTAGAACCTTTATAATAGATTTATATCTATATTTATCTACTATATATCTACTTTATATACTACTTTATATACTACTTTATATACTATATTATATACTCTATTATAACCTTATACTATATATATTTTTTTATATAGATATATACTAAATATAGCTTTAAATTTAGCTATTACTATAAAAAGAGTATTACTAGTAATTTTATTATACTATTTCTTTTTAAATAGATATTTACTTTACTATTAATATAATTATACTATTATATTATTTAACTAATATATAATATATATATTAGTATTACTTTAGTAATATAAAAGTATACCTCTAGCTATTTTATAAACTTAGCTTTAGTATCTTTTTACTTTATATATTTAGTTACTTTTATATATAATAAGTATAGTAAATATTTTAACTTTACTATAAAACTATTCTCTAAATTATTAATATTATTTATCTTTTATTATTTTATACTACGTAGCTATATATTTATATATATATACCTATATATATACTATATATTTTCTTTATTATTTATATTCTTTAAAGAATAAACAAATAGCTAAAGTACTACTTTTAACTTTAGCTTTAATATACTAGTTATAGTTTTTTTTTTCTAACTAACTCTAGTAGTTTTTTAATATACTACTATCTTCTTATTAGAAGACTTAAAATTTACTATATTAATAATTTACTTAGATATACTCTTAATACTATCTAGTATTAGCTATATATATATATAATATAAGAGTACTTACTAGTTATAATTTATTCTTAGATAGAACAATAGATTATCTTACTTAATACTATTATATATTTATAGATCTCTAATAGATATTAAAGAATATTCTTTTATTTTAAAGTTTTAATAGATTATATATACTTTCTTACTACTATTCTTTTATTACTAGACTACTATCTTAGCTTTTATTTTTTAAGCTTATTTTATTACTTTAGCTTTTTAACTACTACGCTTTAAAAGATAATTTAATAATTTTAATACTAATTATATTTTAGCTACTTAGCTTACTTTTACTATAATTAGACTTTCTAATTTTACTATAGCTACTATAATTATACTTACTACTTTTCTTTATACTAATATAAATTATCTTCTTATAATATTCTATTTTACTTACTAAAGCTTCTATTAATTATTTTAAAACTACTAATAAAAGAATAGCTAGTAGCTTAAGTCTAGTTTAGTATTATCTTTAGAGTAAAATTATTTAAAAAGATATTAAAAAGTAAGAAAAGACTTTAATTTAGTATTCTTTTAAACTACTAAATACTTTAAATATTAATCTAGTATAAATTACTATAGTAATCTAGTTTTTTTAACTCTAGCTTTAGAGTAATACTAGAGATTATAAGTATAAGCAAATTATATACTTATCTAAAAGATCTTTTTTATACTATAACTAAAACTAAATAGAAATATCTAGTAGTAATATAATATATACTAGTAGGTATACTACTAATAGAACTTATATTAAAGTTAGAGAGTAGTTATAATTATCTAATCGCAGACACGTAATTGCTTAGCTCTTAGGTATATAACTAGAGATTTTATTCTAACTTTCTTTAGTAGTATAATAATTATAATATACTTAATTATCTCTAATTGTTAATTATCTCTAGCTATAATAACTTACTATATCTATTTTCTATTAACTATAGCTTTTTCTTTATTCTCTAGTAATATTATAATAATAATTACTAGAAAATAGGTCTTAGATAAGATAACTAATAATAAATTACTATAGTATTTATCTAAGTAATAGTATTTAGTAAGAGAAAACACGCTATAGATTCTAAATCTTTTATTTTCTATTATTAAATATATTTACTAAAAACCTTAGAAATAGTACTATATTATTAAGATATAGTTTAGTTTATATAGAAAGATAGTAAAAGACTTTTATTAACTCTAGCTAGTATAATAAGTTATAAGTATAAATTGTTCTATAATTAATATTTAAAAAGTTTTTTTCTTATTCTATAATTATAAATAGTAAGTATAATAAATTAAAAGAAGATATTTATAATAAGATTACTATATAGAGTAAATTACTATATATTATTACTTTACTCTATACTAACACTCTACTATAATAGATATAAGTAGTAATTTTTAAAGATAGCTTTTTTCTAGTAAGCTTACTAATAAGATTACTCTCTACTTAGCTCTTAGAAGTATAATAATAGTAACTATAGAATATATTATATATTGTCTTACTAAGCTTTTTATAGGTATAAATAAAATTAAAATAATAAAAGATTTTACTCTAGCTATAAAATCTTCTAGAATAATATAAATATTAATAAAGATACTAATAGCTCTATAATATATTTATTAAAAATGGAAGAATTTTAATAATATTTTTTATTATTAGATAGTATTTTATTCTATAGCTCTAAAAATAGCTCTAAAAATAGTTTTTAATAGTTATATTTCTTACTATTATAGATATAAAGTAGCTTATAAAAAACTTTATAATAATAGTTAAGTTCTATAGAAAGTAATTAATATAGTTATAATATAGTAACTTAGTAGAGCTTTTAAGTAGAAGAGAACAAAAATATAACTAGTAAGTAATATATTTTCTACTTATAATTATTTAAAAAACTTATAAATTATTTAGAAGTACTACTATATTAATCTTATCTTTACTATTAGATATTAGCTATATATATTATTAATCTTTAATATCTTATATAGAATTATAATATAAGTGTAAAGAATAAAATAAGTACGCTTTTACTAGAATTTTTATATACATATTTTAACTAT